TTCACACAGACAGACACACGTACAACATTCAGAAGGGAAACATCGGCGTTGGGTTTCTGAGGGCTGAAGAACACAGCCCTCACGGACAGCAGTGGTGTTTACCCCTGGCCACACGTCTTGAGTGTCTGGCTGAAGAAGTCAGCTGTGCCTTACTCATAGTTGCCCCTGAGTGTTTTGCCGTCTTCCGTGATGGAAGAGGGAGGTACGGTTTCTTCGACTCACACTCAAGAGACTCCTTAGGTTTGCCTCTCTATGGTGGAACTGCAGTGAAGCTGACTTTCAGTAACCTGGGTCAGCTGGTCCGGCACCTGGACACGCTTTTTAGAGACCGTGGTGCTACGACCCAGTACGAATTTGTGCCTGTTTCATTTGAGCCAGTCACAAATAATAGCAATGAGCCACCGACAGCCTCAGCTAGTGTTCCTCCTCAGAACATTGATGTTCCCGCGCAGCCCGCAGAGAACACTGCTAAACAGGTCTCAGCTGAGCACGCACACACCAGCACCGTCCGTCACACAGCACACGTAGGTCACACTTTGAAGACACCGAGTTTAACAAAGGTAAGTAAAGAACGCCGTCGCAAAGCAGCTCGTCGCATTAGAAACGAATCGGTACCTGAAACAGTATCTGCTGAGTTACAAAGGACAAAAAACCTTCGTGAAAAGCAGCAGTATGCCAGCAGTACAGAGCATAGGGCCAGAAAACTGCAGACACATAGACATAGATATAGAACTGATGCATTTTACTAACAGAAAAGACTTACATTATCCAAACGTCATTATGACAGCACACAGGATGAAGTTAGAGCATACAAAGTTAGGACATACCAAAGTGATGCTGTTATTAAGAAACGGTATCGTGTCCACAAATACAAAACTGATATCGCCTATCAGCGTAGACAAAAACAGTACGTTGTCACTAGATACAACACAGAGATGGGTTATAAGGAAAGACAGAAACAGTACATAGTCAATAGGTACAACACAGAGATGGGTTATAAGGAAAGACAGAAACAGTACATAGTTAATAGGTACAACACAGAGAGGGATTTTAAGAACAGACAGAAACAGTACTATGTCACTAGATACAACACAGATTCATCTTTTAAAGAAGGACAAAAGAGGTACAAAACTCTAAGATATTTAGAAAATTCCTCACACAGAATTAATAGGAGAGTTTATAGCAACAATCTGTATAAG